CCCAGAAGAATGAAAAAGTAGATCAGTACTCAGTTTCCAAGCAACACTGTCATACAAGTAATCAATTTATTTTTTCAGATCAAACTGTCAAAATCAGATTCCTTACCAAAATAATGGCTTTAAAATACTCCTAAATTTAGAAGCTCAAGTATCTGTACCTTTAAGGCAGCCATATCTTGTTTAAAGTCTTCTTCATAAAAACAAGCAAGAGCTACTGGCGAAATATTCATCTGAAAAAGAGAGAAGCAGATTAGTAAACCATAAATCAAAGTAATAATATAAAATATTGCAATCTTTTATCAGACAGTTAATAGCTAATTGGAAGACTTAACGAGCCCCCAAGGTAAAGAGTCAGAAAGGCTTATTAATCCAACATTCATGGGGAAGAGATGCAAGTTATAAATAACTTAAAAGTAATATTTCATTTATGCTTCTGAATTGCCAAAAGATTAATACGTATCTTTTGGGAGAAAGCAACCAAAGATTGAAATAACAAACTCCTTCCCTCCCTCATTATTTTCCTCTTGAGAGGGTCTTCCATTTCCAGTGACAAGATATACTACAGAACACGGGACGTGAAATTCATTCAACTTATTGGCAGGGGACACCAATACCACCTACATGTCAGAAAGACAGATCAGAGACTTGCAGGATGAGACAGGATATTAATTTTCAGTGATTAAGAAAAATAAGCTATTTCAGCTGATCATGGTTACTCATATATCTCAGTACAATCAGAGGAAATGAACCGAAAGTCAGTCCCACACTTTGCCGAGTGCGGCACTTCTCAAGCACCTTCTCCGCGTTTCTCATTCACAGGGTGACGGACAGGAACAGGGATCCTCGCAGAAGTAACGAGAAAGTGCAACCCGAAAGGAAAGAGACAACTTGCATGTGACAAGATACTTGTTCTCAAATATTCAGAAGAGGCCAGGGCTTGAAAGATGCATGACGGCAAAACCTGTCCTAGCAAGCAAAAACATGATATCAAAGTTTTTCGAATGAGAGCTTTTATATATTCTCTGAGGAGAACCTACTGAGGAGAAGACAACATACTGTCAGTCTCTCCAGCTTGCAGATAACCGAATCATTAACAAAACAAAACTAGTTTCATCACTTCCAATTCATTACTGGAGCATCTTTAAGGGGTCTGATTTTCGGAGCGCAGGTGGGTACTACTATTTGGACAAGCTCCTGGACAAGGCAGGAGTTCTGGTGAAGACAGACCAGATGCTCATCCAGCAATTAAACGAGGAAGATGCTCACCACTGAGAAACAAAGGCATGTTCTGCCTACAGACCAGAGAGAGTGCTCTTCCAGACCCCAGCGATGGGACTCATCTCCCTAGACAGCTCAACTGCTTCTTTGATCAACAGAGAAACAAAGGTGCCTATAGGAGGAAGATGGTGAAATTCCTCCCGTCCAGACGGATGTTCAAAACACAAAGAGACACATCTCTCTCTCAAAGGACCACTGAGGGCATGCAGCACGCTCATCATAGACTAGATGCCCAACTTTCAGGTTTCCTCTAGATGAATCCCACCAAAGGATGGGGAACAAGCTTAGGCATGTTGATCCTACCACTGTAATGCTTCAGGTACAGAGGTCCCAACAACAAAATCAGGCTACTCAGGTAGAGGCCTTGGCCATCCAAACAAAATGTGCAGAGCAGAGCAGGCATTTCAAAAAGTCACCAAAAAAAGCCATGAAAAGATTACTTCATAGAACCAAAGAATGCAGTAAATGAACACAAATTCTTTTAAAACATCATGTGATTTCCCCCTCCTCAAACATAAAATCTCCATAATGTTCTGACAGTAAGGAAAAATTTTAAAATGCACACATATAGATTTTAAAATGCCTGGGGGTTTTGTTTGGGTTTTTTGGCGTTTTTTTTCTTTTTGGTTCCGGGGTTTTTTTTTTTTCTTTTAAGATGGTCTACTGCCTTAGAAAACTGCAAGTAAATGGGAACACACATGTATTTTTACATGTTTCTACAGGAGTGGTGTGCTAGTATTCATTTGAATGCAGTGCCCTATATTTAACTGCAATAGTAACTGTTTACTTAAAGATTAAATAAAAGTGACAGCTGTCAAATTCTCTGGCTCCAAGAAACTAGCTTAAAGCTTGCAACTGCAATTTGGTCCAACATATTCATTTATGATCCAGAAGACATGAGTTACGGATTCTAAAAACAAAACAAAAAATTCAAAATGCAGAATAAAACACAGAATACACTCTTGGCGTTTCAGGGTCCAAAAAGCATTTCAGGGAAAAAAAAAAAAAAAAGAAAGAAAATAATTGGAATAATCATTCACCAAGCTCAGCTGGTAAAAAAGGTCTGATTAAAATTCAGCTGAGAACCACTTATAGGCCCAGTCTTATCAAGACTTACCCCTACACTCAATGTCAACTTTCATGTAGGTGACAAACTTGGACAAGACTGATAAAGCTTTCCAAGGCGCTGACGTTGCAGCTAGATGGTGCTCGGCACCTTTCAGGAACCACCCTCAGCCTCGCGTGTGGTAATACTATATATACTACCTTTAACCATCAACGGCACACAATGCTTCTCCAGAACACAGCCAGAAGCCTACTGGCTGCTAAGTTTTGGGTTGCTTTTGAGATAAGACACTCTCCAACTGTGCTGAGGATTCATCCTGGCTTTTTGCTCCCCGCTGGCCAGGGGACGAGGGCAGGAGGACCCCAGCCGCAGGTGCCGTAACGCAGCCCTCCCTGCCTCTCCCCCTCACACAACTCTGCACCCACTTACCTCCACGCAGCTCTCGATGCCCAGCCCTCCAGACTCCCAGCCCCATTACAGCCATGCTAGGGGACCAGAAATCCCCACATTTATTATCTACTAATTAAAACAAACAAAACTCAGCAAAAAAACCCAAACCCAGGTTAATTTTCCTATGTAAGCAGCTGTAGAAAATACCAAAAGTTTGGGTCAAAGACCGCAGCAAACACCTACCTCATTGGCTCTTTTTATTATCTTGTCATCTATGTCTGTGATCCCCATCACCATGACAACTTCAATTCCAAAAAACCTAGTCATTATCCTTCGAATTATATCAAACCTAACATAGGAGCTGGAAGAGAAAAAACATGAGCTTTTAAACATGCAGTAGTAAGAATAAACTTTTAAACAAAAATAACCAACAGCACTAACAGCCACAGGGACAACCTAAATACCTCAACACTTGCAATGAAAAGGCCTTCAGTGCATCAAGTGCTTTTCCAAAACCAGTTACCACCTGCACAAAAGTCAAGCAAATTTCCCTTGAACTGGCCTACCCTCTTCTGGCATTAGTGACACATTACATCAAATTTTCTGAGTGTTTTCTTTTGTTGCATCTCCTTATTCAAGCACCGAAGTGCGTTGGAAGCTACATGTGAGTCAGGAGACTCCCTCAAAGCAAACAGTACGAAATAAGACACACAGATCAGATATTCTTGAAATACATCCCTCAGGCTTTGTATATTCTAACAGGTTTTCAAAAGCTACAGGGCAGAAGAACAGGGAGAAATAAAATGGAGTTCAAATGAACTTTGCTTAAGGTTGAGTAACTACAGCTACCAGCCACCAATAAACTATTCCATTCACACACCACCACAGATCTTTTCTGATAGCAAAGAGCAGTTGCTGCGTGGGTTATTTTGTTTTATTTACACTCGAGAATAAATTCTCAAAATTATTCAGGCTCTTTGTCACAAAACGGAGTATTTAATGCTGATGGATTGATGTACCTACAAGCTGTACAGGGCTGTGGCAGCCCCTTCTGCCGCTCACAGACTCTCCACTTGTAATTCTCAAAACACGCTTTGACTGAGTAAAACCCAATTATTAGGTGAGATATTAGAAGGTGACTAGAGGCTCTGGGTCTGCCCTGCAAGGTGATGAGAATCCTCATCAATCCTCCTGCGCTGGCTTTGGAGAAAACAGAGCCTGAAAGGAGACTCGCAGACCTACAGGTTCTCATTTCACCCGCAGCACCGCACCAGCTGCAACTCCCGGGGCTGTCAGGGCAAAGAACTGTAAGCAAATACTGGAAACGGATTTGCATCCTTCCCCTTAGCTGCAGGAACCAGGTGGCATTAAGGTTCAGATTTATGGATGTGTAGTATCTTGATGAAGAAAAATACTTTTTGTTGTTGTTGTTTGCACTATTATGACCATGTTGAAAAAGGGGTTTTGAAAGCCTTGCTGCCAGGGAGAGAGTTTTTAATGAATACCAGCTCACTGGGAGTAAGGTTCATCTAATGTGGTGACACGATTCCATAAGAATATTAAATCGGTCTTTGGACCCTGTTCAGAGGAACAGTACCAGCATCAAAAGCTTGATATTAGATTTAACAGCCCTGCAGGCGTAGTTCCCAGACCAGACACAAATTTCACACTGTGCCCTCTCCTCTGATCTTCCAACTGAACTGATGGAAGAAACACCGCAAGAGCCAGAGCAGATCTCCTGACACCTCAGAAAGCAGGGTCCTTACCACTTCAGGACTGAAAAGAAAAAAGACAGTCAAGATTGGGGGGGTGGCAGAGCAGGCACAAGGGACTGAATGAAATCTCTCATGCTTGGTTTTACTCTTATTTCCAAGTACTCAGCCAGGAACCTGGATGCCAACCAGGGGTCCTTACCACTTCAGGACTGAAAAGAAAAAAGACAGTCAAGATTGGGGGGGTGGCAGAGCAGGCACAAGGGACTGAATGAAATCTCTCGTGCTTGGTTTTACTCTTATTTCCAAGTACTCAGCCAGGAACCTGGATGCCAACCAGGCTGCAGCTTACACCAGCACAACCAAGGCCGGTCTCGGAACGGAGGGAAAAGATGGCATTATCTGCCCGTCTGATTTTTTTCTTTATATAGAATGAGTTTTGGATGTTGTATTGAGGCATACAGAGCACCTGTTTTGAAGACTGGAAGCACAACATACTACAGAAAGTTGGATTATTTAGAGAAATAAGAAATCCTTGTGGAGGGGAAGGAGGAGGGGAGAAAAATAATAATGCAATTATTTTCAAATTCTTCTCAAGGATCTCAAGCTCATTTCCATTATTCGTTTCTGCATTATTAGCTGCCACATTTGTTGTGCTTGCCATAAGTCAAATGTAAGAAGGAGGGAAAAAAGGAATTCTAGTGATAAGAGAACATGTTGCAAGAGTACAACGAAACGATGGCATTTTACAAGAGCGGCATGGTAGCAACACCCATCACTCCATTTGACTTCATGCTCTTTCCCAGTCCATCTCCTGGCCTGCACACCCCCGTCAACAGCATGCATTTCAGCTGTGCCTACCAAAGCCCTACAGCTGGATCTAGCTACTGGGAAAAAATACACATCTTTTTTAAAAAAAAAAAAAAAAAAAAACACAAAATCAAGAGTGCTCCACCATCCTGAACAAATCAGCTGAACAACAGGATGTCAACACAGACACGTGCAAGACCATAGACACTCGGAAGGAACAGCCAACTCCTCACATGCTGGAGGGTTGATCAGAAAAGAGAGAGGAAGGTCTTCAGTGCAGGCATCTTGCCGCACAACAGCGCTACAGGAACAACACGTGAAGGCGCTAAAGAGACAGCAGACAGAGTATAACACAGCTTCTTTTCTGCGTGATACACCGCTCCAAAGGCAACATTCGGCCCTAACTATTCTTTCTTAAATCAGCAAGTGAAGAGGTCAAACCCAGCTGGCACAGATGTATGGCAAACCTCCACATCAGGAAAGCTTGAAATTGTTAGTTTAGACGTAGGATAAGAAGAGACGGGTAAGAGATCAGGCAGAGTGAGCAAGGCATTCCTACTCCCTCCTTCAATCAAAAGGGCCTGAAGGCAGGAGAACAAGAACCACTGACAAAAACAGACATTCAAAAGCCACAGAGAGCTGCAAGACCAAAAGGTGAAACTCTCCACCCCTGTAAACCTTGTGCTCTAAATCCACTATGCCCATTAGGACGGGGGCACTTCTGCAATTCCCTCCCCCCCGTTAACACCACGTCAGGGAAGACAGACCCTACCGTACTAGAGAACCTTGACTGAGCGATGAAGAAAAGAAATTTATTAGCATCTTTCTATACAGTTGCTGTCAAGTGATGATTTTAAATTGTAATTATTTCAAGGTAAACTGTAACATAGCCTGTATGACAATAACTGTAGATTTAAACACACAAATTGCTATGACTTTTTTTTTTTTTTTAAATATTAAAGTTCCCCTGAAGGTAGTAAGGAAATCAGGAAAGCTTGAAATTGTTAGTTTAGACGTAGGATAAGAAGAGACGGGTAAGAGATCAGGCAGAGTGAGCAAGGCATTCCTACTCCCTCCTTCAATCAAAAGGGCCTGAAGGCAGGAGAACAAGAACCACTGACAAAAACAGACATTCAAAAGCCACAGAGAGCTGCAAGACCAAAAGGTGAAACTCTCCACCCCTGTAAACCTTGTGCTCTAAATCCACTATGCCCATTAGGACGGGGGCACTTCTGCAATTCCCTCCCCCCCGTTAACACCACGTCAGGGAAGACAGACCCTACCGTACTAGAGAACCTTGACTGAGCGATGAAGAAAAGAAATTTATTAGCATCTTTCTATACAGTTGCTGTCAAGTGATGATTTTAAATTGTAATTATTTCAAGGTAAACTGTAACATAGCCTGTATGACAATAACTGTAGATTTAAACACACAAATTGCTATGACTTTTTTTTTTTTTTTTTATATTAAAGTTCCCCTGAAGGTAGTAAGTAGAAACAAAACGATTCAAGATATGGTCTTCTTGATTTTTAGATCACCAGTAAAAAGCAAGTTTAGTTCTCTGCTAAGACCGGACAAAAGCAAGGAGGAAAGAGACACCACCACATACACACAACAGTATAGCAGCGTTTAAGGTGAGGTTGCCAACAGTATTTTCACATGATTGGTATTTTAAAACTTCCCTTTTACAGAAAGAAGGCACAGTTGTGCAGTACTGCGACAGCTCAACATTGAGCAAAATTCAACACAAGTTTCTGAATGAAGTTGAGACAGGACCAGAAGCTGTGAAATGCCCTACATTAAAAGGGAATTACTCAAATACACAGCGTCTGATCTTCATACAGATGGCAATTATTTGAGAAACCCCTGCTCTTCCAAGGAGCCCAATGCACCTTGTTCTTTTAAGAATTAGGAGACAGGAGCTCGAGCAGCTGAGCTGCTGCAACTCCCCTCAGCTTCACAGGAACCTGCAGGCACCCTCCATGTCTTCTCATCAGGTGCATTTTAACACAACTGGCAGCAGCCTTCTCTGGTGTATTTAAAGTATTTTTTCAAAATTACTTATAATGAAGCTGGTTTATTATTGTAATTATCCGAATGACCTATGGAAAAAATGCTGTGCTGTTTTGTTTTTGGTTGTTTGGTTTTTTTTTAAACACAGTAAACCACTGAACTGTTACCATGCAAAAAGGCCTTTAAGCTACCTGGGCTTTCCGACATTTAAGAACAGATACTTTTATCTGTTAACCTTAAAAGCATCTTTTTAATAGTCAACCCTGAACTGCTTTTCCTTGGTGCTGACACAGCACCCGAACTCAATTCGAGGCAGAACTATCGTTTCACACGGACAAGGGGCCCTGCTCCAGGATCCCAACTCCTCTGCACAAGACGTCACGTTGTGCCGATATGGTTTGAAATAACTCACCCTGCCTAGCAAAAAAGTGCGCGTTCTTCATACTTTTCACCCCACAATTGTCTCTTTCTGGACGAGCTGCACCAACAGCCCCTTCTGCGCTTCCTGGGGGTGGGGGGGGAACCCAAAGAGGAATTTGCCCTTTGCACGGAACAGACCCCAGCGGGGTCCGTCACCGGACACGGGGTCTGTCACCCGGACACGCGCTGCCCGCTACTGCGGTTCCCACCCGCGCCGTGCCCACGCAGGACGGGACATTCCTCCCCCCGGTCCCCCG